AACGCATCACTTCAACGTTACATGCTAAGAATTTTGTGGATCACAATTACGACAGTTTTGTAAATTTTAGGATACTCTAAATGTGGGGGGCCCCAAATGTGGGGGGCCCGGGGCACGTGCCCCTGTTGCCCCGCCCTTAATCCGCTAGTGTGTGATACTATCAGTCATGCTATCAGCCCCCACCTGCGACATCCCAACTCGTTTTCGGATTACCCCCCCACGTCCCGAATATCGTGATCATACGTCGAGCGGTTAAGATTTGTGCCCAACTGTTGATGCACGCACTGACGGACGCACGGACGGACGCACGGACGGACGATCATGCGATTCTACAAGCTGCATCTGACTACGTCAGATGAGCTAAAAAATCGAATTATGAAACAAAATACATGGCACATGCCATAGCCAACGGGATACCAAGCATTAAAATCTGGTATCCAACACAAGAATCTACTATCCCGCGGATATCGGGATACCGCTAATTTCGACCCCTGCTCAGTCGTGGGTACGGCCGGATCTAGATTAACCATTGACTATACCGGCTCTGGGGGGCAAGGTATATATAGATACACAGTCGGACAGTCTCGGACAGAATCAAGTGACAAGCAGACACACAGATACGATGTAGAGAACCACACGGAAACGGAGATCATGGGACCTAGGCATGGTCACCTAGGCTGTATTTAGTATGTGTGTTGTAAATATATTTGTAAGTGTCAAGTACTAATAAAGTCCTAGTTCAACAACGAATCTGCAACTACGTCATCTCTACTGTTTGTTACAAGACTATGCTGCTACTCTACCTTGCTATCTACGAAACATCTCTACCATTTGCTAAGTCTACGCTTCTATTCTACCTTGCTATCTACGAAACATCTCTACCATTTGCTAACCCTACGCTGCTACGATTACGAGAACACTGAGATCTTCAACCCCAAATCACAGTACAACACATACATGGCAGAAAAAAAACTATGCTCCGTGGGGTCGGTTAGTAGATTTCATGGCAAGAGCAAATGAAAAGATTGAGTAATGTAAACATCTAAGAAACCAGCCAAATCAGGCAAAGATAGGGTTGAGTTTTTCCTGGCAGACGTGAAAGTTGAACACGCACACGTACCCCACCTAACCTCACCTCAGCTACACTCACATCACCTCACAAAGGCTCACATGCACACACACCCATTGGCTTGCTGTATACAGTATTGACTGCTTTAGTCACAGCTTGCCATGTCTTTTTATTAACTACAGCTGCCAAGTTGCCAGCAAAACTTCCAAACAGTCCTCTTTCTTTGTCCCACTTCATAAATTATGAAGTCAATTTCCTCTGTGGAAATATTCCCATTCTTCTGCCTCTTTTATACAGTTGCCGTGTATATTTTAAATAACTTTGCTCTCACCACACTCTTTGAGAATGGTGTTATAGGAGATGGGTGGCTCTTAGGAGATGGTGGCTAGTTCATAAATGCTTGCTTTGCGATACCTTACGCGAACCCACGAACTGCTGCAGAGCAATGATATAATAAAGTTCATACTTGGACTAGGTGTGTTGTTGTACGTGCTGCTTTGGCATTTTGAAAAGCCAACATTGATTACCAATCCGATATTTATAGATGACAAAAGGCCAACATTATGCCTGATGTGCTAGATGGTGTACAGAATGTCATTAACATAAATCAGACATAACAGAGGACCTTATTATTAGAGAAGGTACCTCCTACATTAATTATTTGGCTTCTACCAGAGAGATAAGCAGTTTAAGCACCGAACCATTTCACAGTCCTAATATGCATTCCGATAGCTTTTAGCTTGGTTAGTAAAATTTTATGGTCAACGGTATCAAAAGCTTTTTGAAGATCTAATAAACCCATACCAGTTAGATTTCCTTTGTCAGACTCATATTACGAATAATATCAGTTAGATGGATTAAACTTGTGTCAGTTTATAAATTTGATCTAAAGCCAGAACTCGTACAGTAAGGAATTTTCTATTAAATATTTCTCTACTTGGTTATAGGCTATTCGCTCCAAAACTTTGGACATGACACTTGAAATTGTTGCAGGCCCATAGTTTCCGGGTTCTGTTTTGCTGTTCTTTTTATGTATCGGAATGACCCTTGCTAGGCAGCATTCATGTCATCAGGGATTTTTCCTTGGATGAATGACATGACATGTTGATTACATGTGTAAGAGCTGAGCAAATAACATCTGCTCCATCTTTTATAAATTTTGAAGGAATATTATCTAACCCAATTGCCTTACCTGTATTAATGTTTTTCAGCACGGCTGCACCTGTAGTAGCTCTTCCTCTCCCACCATTGTAATTTAAGTAAATTAATTTTCTGCTACACCTTCGTCCCTATAATAATTTTGAAGACTAATCTCATCATAAGTCCCTTCCTTTTGTGGTAGATCGTTCACCAAGGTTGATGCCACGCTTGTGAAATACTTATTAAAATTATTTGTAACAATTGCTTTGTCAAAAACATATATTATCTCCAATTTTTAGCCCTACCCCACCCAAGTTACTGGTTCCCTTATTTTTCATCTCCATACTCTTTAGAGTCTGCCATAACTTTTTGGCCATCTCACACAGTGAGCTTGCGACACGTACACGCATGATTGCGAAATGGGACGCTCTGCTGATTGCCGTGTGTGTGTGTGTGTGAGAGAGAGAGAGAGAGGGAATGGGAATGTGTATGTATGTGTGTATGCG